GACTTGCCTTTTTTTTTTAATATGTTTTAAAGACAGATACACACTATTCCATACTGTCTCTTCTGTTGTGTTTGTCTGATTCTCCATCCAACACCACCTATGTGGAAAAACCAAGAGTCAAAGAAGTGGGTAAGTTTACAGGATTTTATATTGCAAATACAAGATAGAATCTATTAATGCAATGTGATAAGAAGGATATTTTTCCTCTCCATTTTATTATTTCCTTCACTTCAAGGTGCTTTATTGATTGTCTTTTTATGATTTATACGTTTAAAATAGCCTGCAAATCTTTTGTATCCCCGGTAACGCTCCATTGCCTAATAAAGTTTTCTAGCCACCAGAGTACCTTGGGAGCTCTTTTTGACTTGTACCACTGTCACTTACTAATGTTCTCCACCTGTTCAGCAGTGCTTAGATGCTCAAAGACAGACAAGGGGTTTCTATCCTCAGTCTCTGCCTTGCACCTCAATAGGAGGTCTGTTGAAACAGCTTTGGTGATGTAAATGCCTGTGTTCTCTGTGTAGTCAAGGAAAGGCAGACACCTTCAAAGGTTTCTAGAGGGAGGTCCCAGCTGCCTGCTTTCTGAAGTAGGACTGTTTCACTCCATGCCTAAAAATGAGGCTTGTGCTTAAGTTTGAGTGGATACCATCCCCCGTTTGTTTACAGTGTTGTATCATAGACTGAAAGAAGAATATTTCAGACTAACCTAAAGAAAATCTTGCATCTTAAGATTCCTTTTTGAATGATCTCTGCACATTCCCTCGGCGGTGTTTTGAATGCACTTTCAGCCCATTCCAGGAATGTGAATATGAAGAGGTTATCTCAAACAACACTAATTACAGTTGAGTAAGCTTCATGTTTAAGATATAATATATTGTAAGTGTGATTGTTACTTTTAAAGCATTACACATCACATCATGGGTATGTGGTGTCTTTTTCAGAGAGTAAGACAGTTCTTGCTTTATGTTGTTTACAGTCCAAGATCCTTGTGCATATGTAAATTATACATTTAGAATGTTTTCACAGAGCTAAATGGCACTAGTCATAATAAGTGATATGTTGCATTCTTGCATGTTTTTCCAGGATTGAAGCACAGGGTAGTGTAAAATAATACAGATAAATGTACTGATGGCACGCTATGTTGTGTATTTTGAGTGTATAAGCAATAAAATTGAGAAATAATAAATAAGGAATGTACATGGCTGATACGTCACAATTTACATGTCATGTTGAAAGTGTGAAACCTTGTTAAAGGAACAGTGTTGTAATCTTAAGTGGAAGTGAATGCCTTTTGTTTTAGATTTAGAGTAACAAGATAATTTTAACTTTGGAAATGTTTTGAAAGGAAAAGAAAGTCACAGTTATGTGACACTAACTATTTTTATATTTGTACTTCTCTTAGAAAAGGAAGAAGAATTTGATTGGGGAAAGTATCTGATGGAAGGAGAAGAAATTTACTTTGGCCCAGGCATAGATACACCAGTAAGTAATTTCTTAATGGTAAAATAACAGACTGCGTAAACTGGTTTGAAGTATGTTAGGGACTTGGTTGAGTTGTCCTAATTTCTATACTCTGCCTGTTGATTCTTGCAGGATTCCCTAATATCTTGCATCTTAATTAATACCATGAAATACACATAGACCCAAGCAGAGTAACAGTAATACAAACGCTTTTGGTTTTCACCATGTTTGAACTTAGTCCTGCAACTAAACTGGCTTCTTCTGCTGACCCCTGCCTGCTCCTCATCAGAACTTGCTGCAGTTCCGTGATCTTTTCCAGTTCTCTTATTTGTTCGGTTGTTAATGTTATGTATAACTTATAACTGTCTACCAGAGACTGGTTTGTTAGTCTTAGTGTCCTGGATTTACTTTCTAGTGGAAGAAAGGAGAGAATACTTGATATTTGGCTTGAATAGGGAGTGAATATAGATCTGTCTGCTCTGTTGTACTGAATTGTACTGGGTTTTGTTCCACTTAATAGGATTGGTCTGGAGAAAGTGAAGAGGAGGAAGACACTCAGCCTTTGAGCAGGGAGGACTCGGGTATTCAAGTAGACAGGACACCTTTAGAGGACCAAGATCCAAATAAGAAAACAGTACCCAATGTTTCCTGGAAAGGTTAGAATGAGCTGTAATTCTTCTGGTGTAGTCATACATACTCAAATTTAGCAAGCTAATGCAGCTTTATTTATTATTCTTTAGTGAGGAATTGTGGTTTAGATTTATAATTGTAGTTTGAAGGTGCACCTTATTGTCCACTACTCTTTTTTTAATAGTAAAGAAGCAATGTGATATGATCTCTGTTTTTGCTAATGGAGAACTCTGTTTATTTCTGTGGAATTATATATGAATATTCCAATACAGAAATGAAAACTTACACAGTAAACGTAGCATGTACTTGTATGGATATAATGTAAATTGTAAAGTATCAGAATGCTGAAACAGCATTTGGTTGACAACAGAAGCAGTTGACTCAGTTCTGGGTATGAAACACTTTTGAAAAAAATAGTTTTATGTAATTAAGACACTAGTGGCTTATTCTTAAATAGCGTCAGAGAGTATTAGCTGTAACAGTATATTTTTGCATACAGTATTGTAGGTTACAGGATACCTTGTATAAGAAGAGTGCATAATATGTTATATAAGCAGTAGGTATATAACTGGGATTAGGTAAAGTTTTCTTGATAATCACATTTAAATTTAAAAAAAAAAAAAATTTTTAGGTAATGTACTAAATGCATAGTAAAAAGGAACATAGTGACAAAGCTGGTGGTATTTGGCAGTTTATTTTTTAAGTCAGTTTGATTTTGTACATATCATTTGAGAATTGCCTGAGACAGAAGCACATTTTCTGGGGAAAAGTTGGAAGCCACATAAATCTCCAAGTTTATTTTTTTAGGACTTTTGCAACTTTTGGGAGGTGAGGCATTTCTGTGTACATTAATTCGTGCACAATGGTATCATATATACGAGCACAGTAAAGTGTAAAATAGTTGTAAGTTGTAACTTATTTGGAAAGATCTATGATTCTGCAGCTGAGTGCATAGGCTTACTAAGAACTTTCTCCTGTGTTTCGTAAGCATTTCCTGAATAAATAAAAATACCTCACTGACTGCCAAGTGTTTTCACAGTTGGTGAACCTGATGCCCGCAGCTGGCTGGAGCAACATGTAGTTCCTCAGTACTGGACAGGAAGAGCTCCTCGCTTTTCACATAGTTTGCACTTGCATTCCAACCTAGCTGCAGTCTGGTAAGAAAACAGTATCACTTGCGTATTCCTTACGGGCATATGATGCTAAATAATTACTTTATTAAGCATCTTTACTGTGGAAGCATAAAGATACTATAGTTATTACTGATTTAGTTAAAAACAGAATTAAAAGGGTATGAATTAATAAGATGAACAGACAAGCTCTTTTTTCTATTATTAGATTATTTTATTTAGTTTTTATTACGTTTGTCATGTCAGAGAGAGGGTTTTCCTTTTTCGAAGAAGCAAATCTTATTGTTGAATTTTGTTTGAGTCAACCCTTACGAAGGTCTCTGAGGAGCTAATATAGGTGGGTTTTAAGTGGTCCTGGAAGTAAGGAGTTCCCTGAAGTTTAACTTTTTACTTGATTTTGGTGCCTCCCTTATAAAGTTAATCTTAAACACAGATTTTGTGTGGGGAAGGCGCATAAAGCAGTATATCATCGTGATCTGCCGCAGTTTTGGAAAGAAAATGAGAAGGAAGTTCAATTAAAAAAAAAAAAAAAGCCTTATTCTTCCCTCTGTCCCAAATTCTGATTTATCAGTACTGCAGTAATATAGATCATTAGATTTGTCTTTGTTTCCTTAATTCAATGGATTTCTTAATCAAGGAGTTAAATATATTTTAGTGTCAGTTGGTTATCTAGCAGTTACGAACCAAAATTAACAGTGAATATTAGGAAGTCAGTAACACAAATAAAGCAACGGTGTTTCTGTTGCAATGCTGTTAGCAGATGTATGTTATTTTTATGTATCTATGGTATATAACCAGGATTACTTAGTCTGGATTTTTGGATTTTGAACCCGATTACATAAATTTTGCCATTGATGATATTAATGAGTGAAAGTACTACAAACGCAAATAATTGTTTTATACTTTCCTGAAATATGAACCATACTGTGGAAGGTTTACAAAGAATTGTGTAACAGGATCATAAGAGGAAGTTCTCAAGTGGCTGTGAAAGTTTCCATTTCTTAAGTAAACTCTTAGGCTAAAGTGTGGATTTTCTTATATGGATTAGGGAAATTGATATTTTACTTTTTAGTTTAGTGTTTTTAACAGAAAGTAACTATGAATTTTCACAGCATTGAATGAGAAATAATAAAATAATCAAGGATCAAGAGTTAAAAAAAACAAAACCAAAACCCACAAAACCCAAAACAAACCAGATTCAGTACTCAGGTATTAGCAAGACAAGTAATGAAGTAGCAATGTATGACTAGATTATATTTGAATGCTTACCATAGTATTTTGCTTAACAATATGAAACCAAACTCTGCTTTTGTTTATATACTTAAAATGCCCTCATGAGCATTGAATCTACTCAGATATAAGTGGAACAAAACTGAGCCTTAAGATTATTGCTTCATTTTTACTTTCTGGTGAGTCAGCTGTTATTTCAGCCATTAAATTGTTTTCATTTCCTTTTTTCTGAGGGACCACCACTTGTACGCCAGTGATCCTTTATATGTGCCAGAAGAGAGAACATTGGTCACTGAAACTCAGGTTATACGGGAAACTCTTTGGTAAGAGCAACATCACAAAGTTTGCATTTTAACTTTCAGTATTTCTCTCAAGGAAATGAGATATTTATCTTTGAAGTTGTGTCTGAAGAAGGAATTATTACTGGGCTTTTAGCTTGCACCATTGCTGACAACAAAGACACTGCTTGTGCGTGTTAACCATTCAGATTGACAGAGAAGAAAGTAGCTTACTACTCCTCATATGCCCTGATTCTTCAAGACTAACTGTTAAGAGGAACCAACTTGTTCCATCCTGCCCCGATGGATTTTTAATAGTGTCCAATTTTAGAAAGTAGGTTTGAGACATCCCATAGCTGGGAAATCACCTCAACTGGAAAGGAACTGTAGGAGATGTTTACTTGATGCCAGCGTTTTATTGTTCTTGTTCTAGCAGCAGCTTACAGTACCAAAAGTGTCATAGTTGATCTGTGGTCCTCTTTTATTTGAAGAAAATAAACTTTTAGGCAAGGGAGAGTTGATTCTTTTCTTAATTACGTAATTATAAGACGATAAAGGGGGAAAAATTACTACTCTTTTTGTTTCTTTTCAAGGCTACTTTCAGGAGTGAAGAAGCTTTTTATATTTCAGCTGAATGACGGAAAAGTGGCTGTGCGGAATGATATTATTGTAACTCATTTAACCCATGTAAGTTGTTTCTGAATCTCAGCTGGATATATCTGTCATTACGAAGACGTAATTTTGGGGAATAGGAAGTTAAACTGCTTGTGGAAAAATCGCATTTCCACAGTTGTGTTTTGACTAAATTAAGAACATCTGACTTAATAAAATTGAATGGGTGGTTCCCATATCTGAGAATGTGATGAAGCGATAGAGATGGCAGGATTTTATTATATTTTAATTCATAGAAATATCTTGTGATTTAGTTTTTAGGCTTTATAAAACATGAATTTTTATTAGATGATTCTAAGAAGTTTTTTTCTTTTCTTTCTAGAATTGCCTGAGATCTGTATTGGAGCAGATAGCGGCATATGGTCAAGTTGTGTTTAGACTACAGAAATTTATTGATGAAGTGATGGGACATGGCCCAGAAAGCATGATGCATGGGACAGTTTCCACTCCAAAGAAAACTACCGAAGCCCCATTCAGAACCTACCAAGCTTTTATGTGGGCCCTGTATAAATATTTCATTAGCTTTAAAGAAGAACTTACTGAAATTGAAAAATGCATAATCAACAAAGGTACAGTGCAAGGGAAATTTTGCAAGAAGGGGGCACACAAGGAAATTTTTGTAAGAGGGAAACATGAAATACATAAAAAACATAATGCAGATACGTTTTGAAACTGAAAAGATGCCATACTGCATTTTAAAACCTCATTAGTAACATCGACAAAATTTTATTTCTGTTGGATGTTACTTTTATACACCTTTGTTTTTGGTTTGTTTTTTTTTTTCCCCAGATAAAACAGTCACACTTTCAATAGTAATAGATAAGTTGTCTCCCCGACTGGCACAGCTGAAGGTTCTTCACAAAGTTTTCAGCACAGGAGTAGCGGAAGTGCCACCTGACACTAGAAATGTTGTACGAGCATCTCATCTGCTTAATACTCTCTACAAAGCTATACTCGAATATGACAGTGTTGGCGAAGCATCTGAGCAAACGGTAGGGGAAATCATTCCTTCCTTAATAGAATGACACACTAGACTACTTAGTAACTTAAATTTCTTTATGGTGATGCAGTACACTAGCCTTCAGCTACTGAGAGATGAGAATAGATTTGATAGCCATAATGCATTACTGTTTTCTGACATGAGTTCACTCAACCTGAATAAAATCAGATTTATGGGGAGATCAGCAGCAGTGTGATTTTAGAATTGAGGAGAGGAACTGTGGGGAATCAGGGGCCAGGAAGCTGTAGGAAAAAGGAAGCTTTGGAATAGCTTTCCCTCCTATTTCTACAACTGCGTAATCTGGTTAATGCTGAAATGCAGGGATTTGAGTTTTTACAGTAACTACTGAAAATACAGTAGATGTCATTATGTCCTTTTGTTTTCTAGTTTGCTACTTTGTAAAACCACAGAATGTTTTGTGACTATCCCTTACTGTGGAAGAGATGTTAGAGTGAAAAAGATGAAAACCGTTGTTTGAGTCTAACTGCTATGACAAAAGTAACAGAGGGAAGCACGCACAATGCAGGCTTCCATTAAAACTATAAAGCTGTGATTTTTAGTTGAATGTTTTGTCTTTAAAAATCTTTAAGTGTGGTTATGCATATCTTATAAACTATAATTGCATAGTTAAGAGGTTAGGCTTTGCCGTATTGCTTCCAATGCTTAGTATAAAAACATTCAGCCACTTTTTGTATTTTTATTTTTTTTCCTCCCCTTTAAATTCAGGTATCTCTTCTGTTCTCTCTCTGGGTGGAAACTGTGAGGCCATACTTGCAGACGGTGGATGAGTGGATAGTCCATGGTAATTTGTTTGATCCTGCAAAGGAATTTATCATTCAGAGGTAGGAATGCTGATACTGAGCACACATAATGCTTTGCAAGTATGAATACAAAATCTGCTGTAGAAACTAGGAAGTAAAGGGTAACAATAAAAGTAGGTTTTCACATTTGTTATTTTACTTAAGTAAAACTAATTCCTTAATCATACTTTTGTAACTTATCTCAAACTTCCGTTAGGGAAATTGCATTAGATATGGAATGGAGCCCTACCAGTTATTGTTCTGGAATAGAAATAATTTGTTTTATTTTTTTCAATCTACAATAAGTAATCAGCAGTCTGACTCAGTGTGTTGACTTTTTTTTTAAAGTAATTAATCATTTTTCAAAACCAAGATGTTTGCAAAAATTATGACATTTACTTTTAAATTATTCTACGAATCTATAGTTGTTATAAATCAAATGCTGTTTAGAATTAAAATACCCATTGCTTCTGTTGTGTACTACACATTAATATGATGTCTTGAATTACATGCATGTATCCTAAACATTATTTGATCTGTTAATTCCTCTTCTGTTTGTATGCTGTATTTTGCTGGTCCCTTTTTTTGACAGCTTGAAGTGGAAAGTCAATGTAGAAATTAGAATTTTGGCTTGTAGTTGCCAATCCATTTCCACCTGTCTGCCAAACTTAATTGAACCTCTGTCTGTTAAGGCAGGTCAAGGTGAGCAATAAAGTAAGAGAACAGTTCTAATACTAATGTAATGAATTCTTAGTAGCTGAGATCTTTAACATCCTTATTATGTCCTACTTGGCTTTTCTTTCTGTGGTTCTGTAGTTGTTTCCAGTGCTACCAACAGGGGTGATTTCAACTTTTATTTATATTTACGCTTCATTTTAGTTATCTAACTTAGGTTGTTTTCCATCTGACTTCAAAGACCAAACTGTGTATCTGATGTAAACAACACAAAAAAGCAAGGTGAAGAACTGAGTTTCGCCTACTCTAGAATTTTTCCACTTTCTCAGTAGCATTTGCTTCACTGTGGATTTTAAATAAATCTGCAACTCAGTCTCTAATCCTTTTGCTGTTAAGGATGCATGCCACTGTGAATAGTTAACTTCTCGGACAAATTTAGTTATAATTACTCTATTTGCCTTGTTTTGGGCGTTTATTTGGTTATACAGTTGTTTTATCTCTTGTGAGCTGATTCTTTAGCCTTCTGAAGCTGTCATCCTTTCTTAGATGGTGTCTAGGCAGTTTGTGATACAAATGAGCTTGCTTTATATAGTTTTGAAAGTGCTTCTTGACTGTTCTAAGAGAAAGGCAAATCACAGAGCAAGGGTGATATGCATCTTCTAGTAACGAAATTTCATCTTCTGAAAAGGAAAATACTCAACAGCTTTTTGTTTCTTTGCAGAAACAAAAATGTTCCAGTCAATCACAGAGATTTTTGGTATGCTACCTACACATTATACAGTGTGTCAGAGAAGACGGAGAATGAGGAGAAGATGAGTGATAACGCCAGTGCCAGTTCTGGTAGCGATCAGGCCCCTTCAAGCAGGCAACACACTATGGTGTCTTTTCTGAAACCTGTGCTAAAGCAAATTATCATGGCTGGAAAATCCATGCAGCTGTTGAAGAATCTTCAATGCAAAGATGGCTCTCCGCAGCAGGCTGCATCAAGAGGTGAGATGTCAGCTTACGGACTGTCATGCCTTAGTGTATCTAACAGTATAAGTGTATTTTTTGCAGTAGTGTTTCCATGGTTTTGGAATAATACAACATTCTGTGTTGAATGTCAATATCGTGGTTGGTGACTTCAGGTCTGATTTGGACACACGTGCTCTTCCAGTGCAAACAAGTGACAAGAGCAAAGTGAACACAGATTGAGTGTTCCCTTTGCTTTTTATTGCTTTAAATTTTTCTTAAACTTGTTTTCATGTGCTTGCAAGCAAAAACAGCTTGTATGTTCTAATGGTAAAGCTGTTCTGTTTCCATTACTGAGTGGTTGAATAATTCTGAGCTAGCATGTGGAACTTTTTTTTTTAAAAAAAGCTTACTATTTAGATGAAAGGTAGTTGGATATTTAGGATATTTATCTCGAGTGACTGTAAAACAGTACAACAGTGTAAGCAATGTTGATTGTTGTTTTGTTTTGCTGTTTCTTGATGTTTAGAAGTAGAGACAGATAAATTATTTTGAGACTCTTAAGGCTTATTTCCCCCTTTGGTATGAGAATGTAATCTATTCTAGTGAATACTGCAGGGTCATTTCAGGTGCTGAGAGTTAATTGCCTTTGCCCCTGAAGGAGAAAGTTCTCTAACAGTCTCAGAAGTATTTTGTACACCCATTCAGCAATCCATTTGAACATATGCCTCACTTCGGTCATTGGACTAGTCCTGCTGTTTTGGCAATACTTAGTTAAATATGTATTTGAGCATTTTCCTGAATAGTGGCCTAAATTTAGTATATTAAAACTTAGCAAGTAAATGTTGGACTATGGAGGAGTTCTTGTAGTTCAGGTGATGTTTTCTCTTGGAACAAAATCTTACCGTGGAATGTGTTGCCCAATTTAGATGCTGAACGAAAGAGTTTGTATACACTGTTCTTGGAATCAGTGCAGTCTCGCCTGCGGCATGGGGAAGAGTCTGTTCCAGATATTATTACAGAACAGCAGGCCACAAAGCAGAGCCTGATAAAGATGCAGTCTATAGCAGAAAGACACTTGGAACTGGATGATGTCCATGACCCACTGCTGGCTATTAATTTTGCCAGGTAAGTAAATGATCTTCCTGCTGTGTTGTTGAGAGCAACATTCTGCTTGGTGACATTTGATAGACCAAATTTTTATTGCTGCTGCTGAAAACGCGCAAGCACAGAATAGGGAAGCACCAACAATCAGTGACAGAAGCTGAGGAAATGCTACCCTTGTGCTTAGTTGAAGAAAAACAGTTAAAATCAGTGAAGAATCTGCTACTCTATCTGCTAGCGTAGAAAACGGGAGTAGTCTTTAACATAACAGGCTTTTAGCGAATAAGTGTTTTAATAGTGAATGTTGTTGTAAGCTCTAAACTTTTAGATGTCTTTGCTTGGAATTTGTGCAGAACGTTGTTGATTTGTACCAAGTATTTTCTTTGAAGAATGCAGCTTCTGTTATGCTGTGCTTAAATAATTTAACTTCAAAAGCCTTCCAAAATTCATGTTAATTGCATAAAAATTCTTCATAGTAAAGGAAGTCATATAGAGCTTATAAATGTCTTAGAAATTAGCAGGAAAGACAAACTCTGAAAATCTTACTTATTTTGTGATTACAAATGAGAAATAGCTATTTATGTTTTCCCTCAATACTAGTTGGTGACTTATGTGTTTTCATTTCTTTCAAACAAACTCCTCCTAGGACTGAAATCATAATTAATATTAGATAAGACTCTGTTAGTTGCCTTGTTCGTTGGGACTATTCTGTTTGTTGAAATTGATAGATTAATTCAATGTCTGACTCATCCAGTCTGTTAAGGCAATAGCTGCTGTGAGCCAGTGTTCCTCATACAATGGGTTCAGCTAGCAAGTATCTTTTTACAAATTATTATAATAATTTGATCCTTTCTGTGACAAAGTAATTACACTTACCAAGTGTAAACTGCAGGTACTCTCTTCCCATGATATAATATTCCAGATAGTATATAGGGATCCCATATTTAAGGTGCCTCAAACCAATTCTCTGTGTGTGTGTTTGTTATTGAGTTTTGCTTCTTTGATGGTTGTTCAAATTTTTTTTTTGCTTTAATTTTATTTTTCTTTCCTGTGAAGTTCATTTGACTGCTGTATATGCACACTATAGTTTTAAAAGTTTTAATAGTTTTAAAAGTTTTTATAGTTTTAAAAGTTCCTATGATAATGGGTTTGTTTATTAAGCTGTGTAGTGTTTGAACTTGATCCTGTTTTTTCAGAATTATTCCTTGAGCAATTATATGGTTACAATATTCCATCCTTTTTGATATTCTTATGCCTGGTCACACAAAAACATTATGAAGGATCACTTAATAGGCTTGATATAGTTATGAAATGGCTATATATATATGAACTATATATAGTTATGAAATGGCTTTTACTACTTCTGCACCATCTATTTTAGAGCAGAGGATCCAATTTTGATTAGAATCTTTGAAGGCATGACATTTTTGTTATATATAGTGTATACAAACCTTCTTTCTTAAGTAGTTTGTTTTATTTTGAAGATTGTATTTGGAACAGAGTGACTTTCACGAAAAGTTTACTGGTGGAGATGTTTGTGTGGATAGATCCTCAGAATCAGTCACCTGCCAGACTTTTGAACTGACATTGAGGTCTTGCCTTTATCCGCACATAGACAAGCAATACTTGGAATGCTGTGGCAATCTGATGCAAACGTTAAAGCAGGATTATAGGTAAGAAAGTAGATTTGTTTTTCCTTAACATTTTCTTTAATTGCTTGTTGTCATGGTTTTAGGCCGCTCCGGCAACTAAACTCCACACAGCTGGTCTCTCACTCCAGTAAAGTGGAGAGGAGAAAAATATAATAAAAGAACTGAGGGTCGAGACAAGAACAGAGGGAGCACCCACCAACCATGGTCCTGGGCAAGACAGGCTCAGCTCTCTTAAAGCAAAACAATTTATTAACAGCTACTTAAAAGAATAAAGACAAGCAAAACCAGTTACTTAAAAGGATAAAAAGAAAACAAGGCCAGATCTTAAAAACACCACCTTTCCACCCCCCTTTGCCTTTTCTTCCCGGCTCTACCTCCTCCCCCCAGCGGCGCAGGAGGGCAGGAAATGGGGGAGTGCAGTTCAGTTCATTCCATGTTGTTACTGCCGCTTCTCTTAAAGGAGAAGGAGTCCTTACACCATTGTCCCTTGCTGCAGTGGATCCCCTACTCACGGGGAAAAATCCACAAACTTCTCCAACGTGAGTCCTACCTGCAGGATGCAGTCCTTCCCCATCAGATTGCTCCGGTGTGGGCTTTACCACAGTCTCAGATTCTTAGGGAGTTGTTGCCACTCTCTCTGGCGTGGGTCGTCATATAGACTTTAAATGCGTCTCCATACAGACTTTAAATGCGTAAACGTGCCTCGACCTGTGCCCATGATTCACAATAGTCTCAGGCTCAGGCATCTCCTCTGAACAAAACACCTCCCCATCGACGGGGTTTGTCCCACGGACTTTAGATGCGTACCGTACTCAGGCTCTGGTATCTCTTCTCGGACGTGGGTTTTCCACAGGCTGCGAGTGGGTCTCTGCTCCCCTGGGACCGCCTTTAGCTGCGAGGGGGAGCACTCGCTGTCTCACCACTGGTTGCAATGGGAACTCAGCTGTGGCACACGTTGTCCTGTTCCATCTTCACTGACCTGGTGTCGGTGTGGCCGTTTCTCTCAGATCTCAGTAGTCCTTTCTGGGTGAACTCAGCCCGGTGAGCACCCCGAGAGTGGGGCTCTCCCTGAGTTCCCCAAGCGG